GGTGTAAACAGGGAAAAATGGACATGTTAAGAGGTAAAAAAGAAGCAGCAGAGGATGGAAGGATATTGCTATGACAAACAAGTCATAATGTTCTTACCTTCAAACCCGCAGCAGCTCCAGGACCATTAGGATCAACTGTTTGTACATAGACAGGACTGGAGCCTCGAACAACAAAGCCAAAACCAACTGCGTCACTCTTAACCTATAATGCCAAAAAAAAAGACTTGCTGTTCTGGGATCAAAGTTACTGTAAATCCTCTATTAAGCTCCCCCCTCTAATAAGCTGCCCCCCCTCTTTAGAGAAAGAAATTAATTTTTCTAAGCCCCCCTCTTATAAGCCAGCCCCCTCTTTAAAGTAAGAAATTTGCAAAAAAATATAAAATGAGAACAATTTTTTAATAAATAAGGTACATCATATCCTATTGTATCCTGGTAGTGAACATTTGGCTAAATTAATCAACACCCCCCCTCTATTAAGCCCCCCCCCTCTCTAGAGAGCCACCACCCAAAGTACTGAAATAAATAAGCCCCCCCCCCCCCCCAGGGAGCTTATTAGAGGATTTACATCTTGCCCTCCCCAAACCCAAATTAACCCTCACTTGTTGTTGAACAAGGGGAGGGGTGGGGACTCAGTTGCTCAGACACTGACATTCAGTTGATCTCTGCTCTGCAAGCATTGCCAACAAAATACTTTTTTCTATTCATACACCATAAGAAGGGATGGATCACTTACACTTATATTTTTCATGACATAAGGTCCTTCTGGATCCATTAATTCTCTTGTAGTTATTTCTCTGACAATAACTTTAAAAAAAGAGAGAAAAAAAAAAAACAACATTAATACCTTATACAGAGCTACCTCTCAGTAACATTTGTGCTGCAATCACATTTCCTTTCTGCAGAAAAATATAAATAAAATAGACTTTTTTATACCACAAAACTGATATCAGAATGTAAAATACAATTAAAATAGCTTGTTTTGCAGGCTATTTTTTCAGAATGTCATGATAAAAATAGACTGAGATAAAATATACTACCCTGTAGAAAATAGATTTAAAATAAAAGTAAAACACAAATATAATAGATGCTCTATTTTCTCAATCTGGTAAAGTACGAATAAAATATAGCTCAGTGGGAAAAAAATAGGGAAAAAATATATGTGACAGCATTAAAATAGTTATAAAATATGGATAAAATAGGACTGTTTTCGTAAGGGTGGTGAGCAAAAGTACAATACAAAATTCATGAATGGGTCACATCACTGACTGAGTTTACTGTTCTCTTCACTGTCTAGTCACACTCTGTACCTGGTCTGGGAGATTGGCGTGGACTACCACTTGAGGGAAAAAAAACTGGACTGTCTGGAGATCTTTCATAATCTGCAATTAATTAAATAATAATTCAGGCAAAATTATAAGATATTTATATCATGTTTGTCTAACACTGAAGAAGTCAGTCAAGGAAAAACCAATCCAGACAAAGCTTTCAGAACCTTAGCCAGGCCAGTTAATTCTTGAAGGTAGAGCAGTTATGTTTCAGAAAGACAAAGCAACCCAAAATACTGGCTTGACTATGATACAGATGTTAAATTGGAGTGGGAAACTGCACCTAGCCCTCAGTCAATTGTTCATTTCATTATTTTGGGACAACGGAGACTACTACATTGGAACTGAAGATAAGATGAAATGACTCCATGGCAACATTTGCCCTCACAGAATTATTCCCTTCTCTCACCAAATTGTTCATCCAATCCTGGTCTTTCTTTTGCAAAAGGAACTGGGCTGGACCTTTGTGTGTTCAGAGGAGGAAGATTCCTTCTTCGGAAATTTCTTGGTGAGCCTGGTTGCTTATTGTCAACAATTCCCAAAGCATCTACCATTTTCTTGTTTACTACTTTGTCAATCATAAACTGATAAAAAATGTTTTCATCGCGGAAGTGAAATTCGTCCGTAACTGAAAGGGAAGGAATATTGAAGATTATAAATAGCCCTGTAACGAAAGCAGAGCACTCTCTCAACAGGCACAGAGCTTCCTCTTTTTTCAAAATGACAATTAATCCCTTACACCCAAACATCAGTATTGATATTCTTCAAACCATCTTCTATACATTCTCTTTGTCACTGACGAGGAGAATTTGTTGAAAGTTTCTTAGGTTGGTGATCATTTCCTTTATTCTTGTGGTCTCAATGAAAGATTCAACAGTATTATTGTAAGGAGAAATGAACTTCCTGCATTCTAAGTCTTTTTTTTTTAAGTACCATGCTTAATAATTCCTTGGTCTAACAGCTTTCTTCCAAGCACAACTCCATGTGTTCTGTCAGGAACTTCATTCTTTTGTTTTAACCAGTCTACCAGCTCGCATCCTGTGAAACAATTCCTATAAACAAAGTCATGACAAGGATGTGACTTGATTAGGTGGCTGTCATCATTCTTTGCCCTGCAACATAATAGAAGTAAAGAGTCAGTTACAGTGAGACTCAGAAAACCATGAACACTTTGATTGATTATGATCGATCAATCATGTACTGATCCCTATCACAATTAAGTTTAGGATATACAAGCCAATGTCAAAACCACAAACTAGGCAATCTTGCTGTTTCCAGGTTAGTTTTTTTACAAATGGGATGAGCTTTACTCTTTGAAATCTTGCGAGTGAATGGAGGAATTACTTTATCAGGCCAAGGTTTCAGAGGTTGGAGAATGCTGTTCACTGAATAAATCTCTATCCAGTGGATAGTGCAGTACATTTTGCTATCACTTGTCCACTGGATAGCGATCTATCTGTTGGATAGCAGGTCGAGCAGGGGTAATTTGGGCGAGCCAGTGCTCAGTATTTTTTCACTGAGCAATAAATGTCCACTGACCATCTTTGATATTAAAGGCAGCAGAAGGCTGGGGAGAGAGAGAAAAATTTTTTCCAAGAGGATGGGTGATGGTCAGAAATAAGGTAAGGGGCTGGGGTGGTGGATTCTTCTTGCCCTTATCCCCTGCCACCTGCCCCCACCATCCACTCTGAATCTATTTTTTTTTTTTTAGTATTTAATATTTATAAACTTTGCCAGATTTGGCAGGAGAGATCTCACAGAACTAATGTTCCAGTAATGAGACTCCTAAACAACCCACCCGTCCCAACCCAGGGGAGGACATCCATCACACAGTAATCTTGTGTGTGGGAAATTAACGTCTCCTACCCCAACCCTGCAGGAAACAGGACCTCCATTTATTCATCCCTATTTGAGAAGACTAGAATATCTAACCATTTCTTGATGTTATAGAAAGGTAGCAAAAAATTCTTTTCAACTACTTTAAGACCCTGAGTGTTGGTCCGGCTGGGGCTCCAACCCTTAACCTCCCACACAACAGTCCAGCACTCTATCCATTGAGCTAACCGGATAACCGGATAAACGATCATGAGCTAATACCATTAACTGGCCCTCATAAGAAGCCAGCACTGCAGGCTATATGAAAACAAACTCCCACAGATAAACACACTAATCAATATCCAGTGAAGACCCATTTTTTTTTTTTTTTTGTAACATATACACCCTATGGGTAGAGATTTACTGTTTCAGTCCTACACTATTATACATCCTTAAAAACCACAAGGACAAGAAGGGAGAACTGGTGGACAAAAGATCCATTGCCTTAGTGCACTTAATTTATCATATTCAATTCAAGCAGAGAGACCTGAGTTGTCACAAAATATGAATGACCAGCTTTAAGAATTCTTTCATTAATTTCACCTCACCTGTAGTAAATATCACAACCCTTAAATATCACTTCAAGGTCAGAGTTTTTCACAGCTGTATTGTCATCTCTTCGAAATCTGTAAAACAACATCTCATCTTTGAAACGATGGTCATCGACAACTGTCAAAGAGGAAAAGAGAAGAGAGGAGTTAGATTATAGTTAAGTCTTTAAAAGCAAAATTGCTGCTGGAGACATGGCTAAATGGTCAGCATTCTAGAAGTTGCATCAAATGACATGGGAACTTGGTGTGCCAAATCAACCCCTCAAGTGTTTAACACATAGGTTCTATAATACCCTACGTCTAAGGAGACATGGTGGCCTCATGGTTAGTGCACTCGACTCTGGATCAAGTGGTCCAGGTTCAAGCCCTGGCTGGGCACATTGTGTTGTGTTCTTAGGCAAGGCACTTCACTCTCACAGTGCTTCTCTTCACCCAGGAGTATAAATGGATTCCAGTGAATTTAACTGAATGCTGGGGGTAACCCTGTGATGGACTAGCATCCCATCTAGGGGGGAGTAGAAATACTGCTAGTTGCTTCATGCTACGGAAACCAGATTTCAGCAACAGCCCGATGGGCCACTTGGCTTGTAAGCAGGCTTTACCTTTACCTACCCTACAACTGTTCAGTGATGTATCACAGATTAATTATGTCAAAATGTGGTAAGAACAAGAAAGTGGCTCACAAGATGCAGTCAAGTGTGTCCCTAACATTCTTAGCAGATTTTGATGTCTTCTGTTAACTATAACTGAACAGATGCATGGCAACATGGAATCTATTTGTCTAATGTGAAAAAAAATCTTCTAATGGTGATTTTATCTATGCGTCTGTCCTCCAATGGATCATTAGTAAAAACCAATCAAAATGCTTGTATGATTAAGATTTTCAAATTAATTATTAAACCAATAGATTCCACATGTTACATTGCTAAAGATCCCTTAAAGTCAGCCTTAAAGATAATCATTCGATCCAGAACTGTAATCAATCTTACAAATGCAAGATAAGGAATACAACGTGTCTGTCAAATCGTTAATCGGTTACGGTTAAGTTCAAAACGGACGACAGTGCTAAATGTCAAAATGACACTAACTAAGTCAGGCTTACGTCGGGCATATTAAGTCAAGACTTAGGTTTAGTTGAGGTGCTATGCAGTATAAACCAAACCAAGATATGGTAAAAACAGACGTTTCGAGCGTTAGCCCTTCGTCGGAGCGAATTCTATGGTAAAGACAGTAAAGTTTCTATTTGTATGGAATTATACATAGGTGAAAACATTGGAAAAGACGCTTATCCGATACTCGTTGCATTGTTATGGCTGTTAGTTGGATTTAGGCCATTCAGCACAATACGTCACAAAACATCTCTCTCTCAGCTAAGTGCTTTCACATCAGGCTAATTTACCGATAATAGCGTGAGTAAATTCTTCCCTCTCGCCGAATCCGAAAAATAATGCAAGTACTGTGTTGTTAAAAAATTGTATTGTTTGAAAGTTGTAAGATTAATTAGCAGCTTAGCCTTGGATTACCAGGTCGACATGGGCTGATGCACTTTGAGCGCTTTGAAGAAGCACAGAATAAGTGTCCTTATTTTTCACCTACCGTGATGGATTACTCCATTTTCCAAAAGAATATCCATGCATTGTACAGCTCCTGCACGACTGTTAGCGTCACCATTTTTTATCAACCAGTCAACAACGTCTCGACCCACAAAACAGCAAGGGTACATACGGAGGTGATAACGCCGGTCTCGGATCATTGGAGGTTCTTCTTCGCTGTGCAACCGGCTTCTCAAGTGCTCGCCAACCATGATGATATGCAAAGCTTTTAGAGAGAGTTGATCGGTCATTTTCACTAATGGAAAGATCACACATAGGCCTCATAGCCAAAAGAGCTATGCAAACTCCACCCAGCACTGCTACAAGCTGTTACATGTTCTCGTCGTGTGGAATCCGAAACAGGTGAGGAGAGCGGACTGGGGTGAAGTCGCCTCCTGCCTGCCAGGATCAGGCCATCATACCGCCCGAGTGATACGACTAAGTCACCGAGCGAAGGACTAAGGGTCTAACTCACTGATCTGGCTGACTAACTGTACAACTGACTTACTGTCTGAGTGCTTGAAAGACTGCCTAGCTTAGGAGCTGACTATCGAGGCGACCAGGCTTACTGAACAACTCACACACTTGGGAGTCATGGACTGCCTGAATGACTTTGTTCTTGACTGCCAGAGTTACTAGCACATGTTGCAAATAATTTTTCTTCTGACTCTGTTGGTTAATTTACCCCATTTTCACTGGTTCAACTGTTTAAAATCTTTCCTAATTAGATGGTTCTTGAATCATCAGATGCATGAGATATGCACAACTTACCAATTATGCAGATCTATTCATGCTGTAATGTCAATAATTACACTCATCCAGGGATTGATTAGTAATGATTGTATTGTAGCATCAAACAGCATCTTACTGAACAAGTTGTTTGTTTCAGTCATTTGGTTTCAGTCATTGCCCCTCCCCCTCTCCCACATCTTTGAAGCATTTTTGGAAACAGAGCTCCTTTTTATTAATAAAAGCTTTTCATCCTTCAATACCAAAATTATAGTTGTCATATCACATCTGGCTCCCCTTCCGAAAAGGGTGAACTCTTTACAACATCCACCTTCCCCATCCCTCAGGGGTAGCCTTAAGAAGAGAGTTGACTTTAGAAAGCAACATACTCTTAGTTCTGCCAAAAAGTTTTTGCCACAACTTGTATTGTGCTGTAAAAACATGTGACAGCAACACAAAAACATTCCAGTGTTGTTCAAGCAACATGCCCTTTAACGTTCTGCAGCTCCCTCAGCTGAATAACTAATGAAAGGTTATCAAGGCTGTGCACTAAAGGAAAATTGAATGGAGCCCAGTGCCCTGAATTTGTGAAATCCAGGGTGCCCAGCAGAGGCTTTTACGAAAAAAACTAAAATTCGTGAGTTGCCCAAGAGCAAAAAGTAAGGCACCAGGGGCCACCAGACAATGCCAGATCACAGCCCTGTTAATTGTTTTTTGGACAAGAATTCTGATCACTTTGAAACCATTTGCATACTTTGAGGGAATGAACATAACACACACACCAAAAAAGATATTTCATTTATTTTCATTGTGACGAATGAATAAGAAATTTTTAGTACCACAAGGTTTAAAATAGTTCATATTTCTAGTTTAATAGCTTAACCTGACCATGGTTTAATTACCGTTTAAATACCTCCTTTATACAAAATGTTCTCACAATGAGAAGATGGCGAGTTTCAAAGGTTAGATAACTTATTTTTTTAGTATCATTTGGATCAACCAAGTGCAACTAGAAAATGAAAACTCTCAAAATATAAACACAGTTTCGCATGAATAAAGGCTGATAGTTTCCAAAGAAACTGTTTGGGGCTGTGTCGGTGGAGGTAACGAAATAATTTGAGTATATGATGAATACATGAAGTTCAAAAAAAAAAATATATATATATATANTCTTCCTTTAAAAGCACACACAACCCACAATTCCTCTATTCGCTCCGACGAAGGGCTAACGCTCGAAACGTCAGCTTTTATAATTGTAACAGTGGCCAATTTACCATTTCAACTTTGTTGATATATTCAAATTATTATAAATAAAAACCAAGATATCATGGTACTCCTGGAGTAACACTTGGAGATCAGAGCAGCCATCACTTTCTCAGCCCAAATTTTGATTGAACTTGAATCTTGTGCGAATTGTATGTAGTTATTACTGACAAAATAGAGATGTAAACGATTTACTGATGAAGCTCAATGCATTTATATTTAGCAATGCTAACCAATGATAGTTTTTTTATTCAGGACGCCCGTCTGTTCCTCATACTACTCCACCCCCACCGCCACCAACTCAGGCGCCAGCATGTAAGTTGATATACTCAAATTAATGTAAGTTGATATACTCAAATTATTACAGTTTTGCATGGTCAAGCAAAGAAAAATTGGGGCATAAATACTAACAATTAATTTAGCTAAATGGTATCATGTCATCAACATTTTTTTTCATACTTTAAATAATAATTTCAAAGTATTATATTATTTGTAATTGCAAGAAAATTGTATGGAGATTCTAACTTTAGCAAAATTTCAGAGATTGATCAAAGAAATTCTTCTCCTCTTGAGTTAGGGCTGTTTTAAGGGTGCAAGCACTGTCGTCATGGGAACGCCCAGTCATCAGCCGGCAGAGTGTGTACTTACGACAACTATCATCACATGACTCAGATGGTGCAGATTTTGAATAAAATCTAAACAAATTTCAACAAATCTTTTAAGTCCAGGAAATAAATCATTAATAAGGACCTCAAACAGAGACATTCAGGGAGAAATCACCCACTTCTGAAGTGCCTTGACATCAAACAATCAACTAAAATATCACAGGCATACTTTTTTCCAATCTTTTACACCCTTACATCGGTACCCATATTCTCCATACTGTTCTCTATACATTTCCTTTGGTGGTGACAAGAAGAATTTGTCTAACAATCAAGGTTACTTAGGTTGGCAATAATTTTCTTTATTCTCACAATCTTAATGAATTACTCAGCAGTATTCCTGTAAAGAAAAATTACACCTAAGAGAAATGAATCTCCCCTCCCCTTTTGGGTTTACAACTTGAAAACATCCGTACCTACCATTAGTAAACACATAAACAAGAATACTGACTACCAATTAAAAGAAAATTCAACCCACAATTTTTTTTCTGCACTACTTACTTGTAGAAGGTATTGAACAAGGTTGTATTGCTTGCCATGCGATGTACGAATTTATCCCAATCTTCAGGCAAAAGAGATTTCATTCCATAAGCCTCCTAATGAAGTAAATATAACAAAAGAAAAAGACAACAATCAACAGAGCTGTCATAAAAATGATGCTTTCATTTCTTCTCCCCAAAAAATAGATAAACATCACTTTTTTCCAACTATCTTTGTACTATACCTTGGCAGAATACTCCAATTTCCACTCGACATTCCCTTTGTTTGCTTCCACCAAGTCCAAAATGTAAGTTTCATGGTTGAGGATAGCCTTTGGGGAAAAAAAAACACAAGGTCAATGGGAAAAACAAATCTCAGGAATACAAATTAAGTACATAATCAATGTAGAAACAGAGGAGACATCACCACTTCAAGTTCCTCCAAATTATTCTCTTTTAAATCCTTCATTTGGTGCCCAAGGCAAATACCATTTTTCCTTGCATATGTACCGTTTCTTTAATAAGTTCCTCCCCTCTAATAAGTGCCCACACCTTTGGTCATAATATCAGACAGGTGCCCTCTCCTCCTTTGCTTTCATAAATAGTAGAGATAAAAAGAAAACCTGTTTCTATTGTCACTTTATTTAATAACTTTAAAGCTTCAACTACAGCAGAATCAGTACAAGAGAAAAATAAGTGCCCCCCTACATTAAGTGACCACTTTCATATCAGCACTGCTTCTTTTAGCAGAAATTTTAAAAAAGCACCTGACTGTGTACTTTTTCCAGGAGATAAATGCTTGTTTCAGAGGGCACCCAATTTTAAGGGAAAGCACTTGTTGAATTTTTCCAAACTCATGGCCAGACATAATTATTCTTTAGATATAATGTCTGCATGTAAACCACACCATAAAATGATTGTTTTACTTTGAAAATTGTGACTGATGGAAGGGGCCTCATTTGCAGGGTGGTGCAAATTATGGCACAAAAAAAAAAAAAAAATGAAGAGTTCATTTTACCCTGGAACTGTTTGCATAATCACCATCCACTTCATAAATCCTGTATCCAGGGTTAAGGCCTTCGTAAGTTGTAACACTTGGTCCAATGAAGGCAATGCTGTCAAGAATAATCAACAGTTTATCAGTGAGCCAGATAGGTACAACCATTAAGGGAGGTCAGTTTCTAAAGAAACTGTGGTGCAGTGATGCTGAGGGTAACAAGGTAATTTGGTTTTATCACATGAGTTGATGATGGAAATTGGCCACCTTAAAGGGTTTCAAAGTTGACATTTCAAGCATTGGCCCTTTGTCATTCGCTCTGACGAAAGGCCAATACCCAAACCATCAGCTTTGAAACCCTTTGCCATGGCCAATTAACCTCTTGGTTAGAGCGCCGGATTCTGTTGTGCGGGAGGTTAAGGGTTCAAGCCCCGGCCGGACCAATACTCATGGTCTTAAAATATGTGAGAATCTGCTACCTTTCTATAATCAAGAAATGGATAGATATTCTAGTCTTCTAGGATACA